CACTCCTCTAAACCAGCACTGTGGTGGTGGTGACTATACACTCCTCTACACCAGCACTGTGGTGGTGGTGGCTATACACTCCTCTAAACCAGCACTGTGGTGGTGGTGACTATACACTCCTCTACACCAGCACTGTGGTGGTGGTGACTATACACTCCTCTACACCAGCACTGTGGTGGTGGTGACTATACACTCCTCTACACCAGCACTGTGGTGGTGGTGGCTATACACTCCTCTACACCAGCACTGTGGTGGTGGTGACTATACACTCCTCTACACCAGCACTGTGGTGGTGGTGACTATACACTCCTCTACACCAGCACTGTGGTGGTGGTGACTATACACTCCTCTACACCAGCACTGTGGTGGTGGTGACTATACACTCCTCTACACCAGCACTGTGGTGGTGGTGGCTATACACTCCTCTACACCAGCACTGTGATGGTGGTGACTATACACTCCTCTACACCAGCACTGTGATGGTGGTGGGTATACACTCCTCTACACCAGCACTGTGGTGGTGGTGACTATACACTCCTCTAAACCAGCACTGTGGTGGTGGTGACTATACACTCCTCTAAACCAGCACTGTGGTGGTGGTGACTATACACTCCTCTACACCAGCACTGTGATGGTGGTGGCTATACACTCCTCTACACCAGCACTGTGGTGGTGGTGGCTATACACTCCTCTACACCAGCACTGTGATGGTGGTGGCTATACACTCCTCTACACCAGCACTGTGGTGGTGGTGGCTATACACTCCTCTACACCAGCACTGTGGTGGTGGTGGCTATACACTCCTCTACACCAGCACTGTGGTGGTGGTGGCTATACACTCCTCTACACCAGCACTGTGATGGTGGTGGCTATACACTCCTCTACACCAGCACTGTGGTGGTGGTGGCTATACACTCCTCTACACCAGCACTGTGGTGGTGGTGGCTATACACTCCTCTACACCAGCACTGTGGTGGTGGTGGCTATACACTCCTCTACACCAGCACTGTGGTGGTGGTGGCTATACACTCCTCTACACCAGCACTGTGGTGGTGGTGGCTATACACTCCTCTACACCAGCACTGTGGTGGTGGTGGCTATACACTCCTCTACACCAGCACTGTGGTGGTGGTGGCTATACACTCCTCTACACCAGCACTGTGATGGTGGTGACTATACACTCCTCTAAACCAGCACTGTGGTGGTGGTGACTATACACTCCTCTACACCAGCACTGTGATGGTGGTGACTATACACTCCTCTACACCAGCACTGTGGTGGTGGTGGCTATACACTCCTCTACACCAGCACTGTGGTGGTGGTGGCTATACACTCCTCTACACCAGCACTGTGGTGGTGGTGACTATGCCTCGGCAAGGTAAGGTAATTGTACCCTTCAATCTTAATTTTGGAGCTTTCGTGACTGCAGGAATTATTCTTTGGTTCTTTCGGTAAAGTCACATATAAAGATAAAATAATAAATTAAGTAATAGCATACGACGTTTCGATTGCAACACAAGCAATCATCATCATGTATAAATGAAATAGCAACACAAAATATAACCAGAAAACTATAGACAGACATATAAGCAGACAGATATCACCAAGATACATAGAGAGAGTAACACAGGTACAGAGAGGGAGATCGTCATCTTGTTTTTATGTTTTGTCTTTCTTTGCAATTTTCACACTTAAATTCTAACTTAGCAATCTTTGAAATACGTAATCGACCAGGCTATGCATTAATTGTGTGTTGACCGACTCTCTGTGTTGTATTACATAACATTTCGATATTTTGCTAGGTTATTTAATTTAGTGTGTTCTTTCTCCCTCTCTCCTAATGTTCAAACTTGCTTTCTTTACTACGCGTTTTCCGCACTCATTGACATGTTAATTGGTTACGCGTTTTCCGCACTCATTGACATGTTAATTTTTTATCTAATCCCCTCCATCTCTCTGCCCCCGCCCTCTCTGCCTATTTAAGGCCACTCAACAGAGACGATCTCCCTCTCTGTACCTGTTACTCTCTCTCTCTATGTATCTTGGTGATATCTGTCTGCTTATATGTCTGTCTATAGTTTTCTGGTTAGATTTTTTGTTGCTATTTCATTTATACCTGATGATGATTGCTTGTGTTGCAATCGAAACGTCGTATGCTATTATTTAATTTATTATTTTATCTTTATACGTGACTTTACCGAAAGAACCAAAGAATAATTGTACCCTTTTTACCGGGTAAAGGGTAGGGTAAAGGTAGGCTCGTTGCTTTTTACACTTTTACCTTACCTGCTATATGGTAAAAGGTAGGGTCGAGTGATTGTATTGTGGTAAGGTAAAAGGTAGGGTAAAGGTAGGCTCGTTGCTTTTTACACTTTTACCTTACCTGCTATATGGTAAAAGGTAGGGTAGAGTGATTGTATTGTGGTAAGGTAAAAGGTAGGGTAAAGGTAGGCTCGTTGTTTTTACACTTTTACCTTGCCTTGCCGAGGCCTAGTGGTGGCTATACACGCCTCTCAACCTGCACTGTGGAGGTAACGAGGATTGGCGGACGGACAGGCGTTGTGAAACTCTCTTCCTGTGGAGGTCGAGGTTCCGTACACTGGCTGGCCAGGGGAAGGCAGTACAGCGAACAATGGGAACTCTTCTGTCCGTATGGGATGGAGTGGTTGCCCCCTTTGCATGCGCTGGGTTTCTCCGGGTTCTTCAGTAGCTAAACGATTTAGTATTTTACTAGGTAAGGCTATGTAGTTCTTTTGCAGAAGTGACCTGGCCACAAATGATAGCGCAACTAAGTGGCTGATCACGTGGCATTTTATAGCAGCCAAATGCTCTCAAAGCACGTTTATAAATGTGGAGGGAAAAACCGGAGGACCCGAGAAAAGTGCCACGCTACCATGCGGAGAAAGACACGCACACTCCAAATATACAGCAGCAGGCGTCAGGGGTCGAGATCGAACCCACGACCTCCTGCATATCATGCGAGGCAGTTAACATCTCGCCACCGCGAAACCTTCAGCGTCTTCCCACATGCAAATACTCATTAATACTGGTAGGAACCTCCTGGTTACATCAACCCACAGGGGATTATTGTGTCCGTCCGTCCGTCGTGCATCCAAAAATGGGAGGGGTGGGGCTGGGTGGAGAGGGTGAGGAGGGGCAGGGTGGGGAGGGGAGGGTGGGAGTGGCTGGGTGGGGAGGGTGGGGCTGGGTGGGGGGTGGGAGGGGTGGGGCTGGGTGGGGAGGGGCTGGTCACCCCGTGGTGCCCTTATAAAACTCAACGTTTAACCTACTCACGCCGGCTTGTGCCCGCCCTCACAGTCGGGCATTTTGGCAGAAAACACCACGCCGCCGTTGACCCTGGCCATTGACCGAGCAACCCAACGTTCCTACCAGCTCCCTCCGCAGGAATGTGTTTGCCTGAAAACGTATTTAATATACAAGGGACCTCAGAGTTTGGGCACTTGTAGGCACAGGCTGACTGACTGGCTGCTGCCTTCCCGCTTGTCCGTGGTTCCTGGCGCCTTCGGATCGTTGTCTCTCTCTCTCTACGAGCGAACGCTGCGCCCGCGGCAGCCTCGTGTTACAAGTTGAACTTCGTATCATTGTTGTTATAATTTGAGTTGATGTCGCACCGCTCCGTGAGAGCTCCCAGTGGAAATGTGGTCATCTTAAGACGCAATGCGGACAGCAAAACAATTAATATAATTAAAATTGTTATTTTAATTGTAGTGCCAAAGACTTTGTGGTAATCTTTGAGGATGTTTTTTTGCGACGATATGAGCCCGATCCTTAAGTAATGATTGTCAGTTTTTTCCACTTAATGTCGATTTATATTTGACGTTGATAGACTCTGATGTGTTCTCGCAAGAACGTCGGCATTGCACAGATTCATTCAGTGTCTTTGAATTCTGAGCTCTCGGCGCTTTTGCTGGGCTGCCATTGGGAACGAGGGACGAGGAGAGTGAAGTCCACGGCAGGCCCCACCTGCAGAGCCGGTCGCTTTGATTTTATTTCTGAAGATGAATCCACTGTTAAATTGGTGCCCGCGAGGTTAAACCGGACGGGTGCCATATTGACACCGGGATAAAAATGGGAGCAGTGCTCGAGATATGCCTGTGTGTGTGTGTGCGCGTGTGCGTATGTGTGTGTGTGCCTGTGTGTGTGTGCGTGTGTGGGTGCCTGTGTGTGTGTGCGCGTGTGTGTGTGCGCGTGTGTGTGTGCGCGTGTGTGTGTGCGCCTGTGTGTGTGCGCCTGTGTGTGTGCGCCTGTGTGTGTGTGCCTGTGTGTGTGCGCCTGTGTGTGTGTGCGTGTGTGTGTGTGTGCGCGTGTGTGTGTGCGCGTGTGTGTGTGCCTGTGTGTGTGCCTGTGTGTGTGCGCGTCTGTGTGCGTGTCAGCATGCGTGCACGTGTCTCTCTGGGCAGCGGTAGTGTAGTGGCGAGCGCACTGCGCTGCGAATCCGACGACCCGAGTTTAATTCCCGCTCACAGCCAACTATCGGTAACCAATATCTGAACCATTCCTGGGCTTCGCTTAGGTCGACTCAGTCATAAATTAGTATCTGGCGTGGTGTGAAAACCTCAGCACTGGAGAAAAAAAGGAGGTCGTGCTGGGTAGTCACCCCCTCGTGTGCTGTGCGAGTTTAACACATGTCCGCAAACAAAGCGTCCTCCGACAGTCTCTGTGGCATTGTTTGTCATTGCAAGGCCCGCGGGCCACTGCCAGCCCCTGGTGGCCTTTGGTGCAGCCCCCGACAGACAAATACACAAATATGAAAACACCTCCATCGTGCTGTCAAACCCCAGCGGTTACAAACGCGTGCCCCCCCCCCCCACCACCCCCACCCCCCCATCTGAAAATGAGTGAAGAACACCGCTCGATGGGCAAACCCGGGGGGTACCTTTGTCTCTGCGTATTTGTGTGCGCTTCGCGCGTGTGCGGACGCGCGCGTGTGCGGACGCGCGCGTCACCTTGCTGTGCGCGTGTGCGGACGCGCGCGTCACCTTGCTGTGCGCGTAGACCACGGAGCCCAGCAGCTTCCAGGTGCCGCCCCTGCGGTCCATGCGCACCATGCGCAGGATCTGCAGGAAGCGCAGCGAGCGCAGCGCCGACGTGGCAAAGATGTTGCCCTGGGTGCCGGCGGCGATCACCGCCAGGGAGGCCACCAGCACGATGCTGTCTGCAGCGCAGCGGCGCCAGCCACGGGGACACACGCACGGCGATGTGAACACAGAGACAGCCGTGTGCCTGTAGAATCTACTGATGGGATACATACTCTTAGGTTTTTTCGGTAAAGTCACGCGTAGGTAAAAATAAATAATAAAAATAATAGAAATTGTAATAGAAATAAAAAGTATAAATCACGACGTTTCGGAGGCAACACAAGTCTCCGTCATCAGGTGGGACCGTCACAGCTAGATTTACTGTAACCGGTGAGTAAAAGTAACGGTCCCACCTGATGACGGAGACTTGTGTTGCCTCCGAAACGTCGTGATTTATAATTTTTATTTTTTATTTCTATTATTTTTATTATTTATTTTTACCTACGTGACTTTACCGAAAAAACCTAAGAGTATGAATCCTTGCAGTCACGAAAGCTTCAAATCTAGAAATGATAGGATACACTTTACTATTTGTATACGGAGACATTTATGATGTCTAGAGGACCAGATATGGAATTCTAGATGCAGTTATGTAGCTAAAGTCAAGTAGGAGAACAGACACAGCAGGGACAAGTGAGAATATAGGTCACTATAAGACTACAGAGCCAGCTATGATGATATACAGAATCCTATGAGATTATAACACCAGCTATGAGATTTCAAGAATAGCTGTAGCATTGCCGAGAGAGACATTTATTTATTCTGCTTGCTGACCCAGGAAAGCTTAATTGAGTCTCAAACTTTTTTTCAGGAGGGTCCTGCCAAGTTTTCGCAGCCGAGAGCGATGTTTCTGCTGTGTGTAACCCCAATTACAGTAATTTCCAGGTGTATTTTTTTCAGCGCTGGGATGTCACCTTGCATGTTTTTTTCCCCCGCGAAGGGGAGGAAACCAGAGAACCTGGAAGAAACCCTTGCAGAGCAGTGGGAGAGAACGCAAACTCCAAACAGAAAGACACCCGAGGAGTCGGGAATCGAAGCAAGGAGCCGCTTCTCGCCGTGTGGCACGAGTGTTAACGCAGAGTCAGGCTGCCCATCCAACGTCCACAGATCCAGCTGGGAAAACTGCATGTCAAGTCAAGGGAAGCTGATCTCGTGTAACCAGCGTGAGAGCTCGAGAGGCCAGGATAGAGGAGTCTCATTTCCAAGAGTGACCTAGGTCACAACGATGCCGAAAGCAAAACAAATCCGAGTAACAGCGGACGAGGTGATTATAACGGAGCAAAAGAAACCAAACTGCACGCTCCACGTGAGAAATTGAAAATGTTGCACAAACACGGATCACTGTTCACCAATGTATTCCCGGTCACGTAAGTCGGCTCGGGCAGATACATTTTCCTTTGTCTGATACAGAGTCAGCTCGGAGCTCAGAACATCGCCTCTGTGGGACTGCGCCGGTGCCTACCGCTACGTGACCCAGTGCACTCCTTTGCCACGAGGACACCGCAGCAGCAGCAGCAGCAGCGGCGGTGGCGGCGGTGGTGGGGGGCCGGGGGGGCGGACAAACCGGGCACTGCTCAGCCCCACGTGAGCGGCACGTTGCCGGGGTGTCCAATGACTCTTTCGTTGGCATCTACCGCCCACGGTAATTTGAACCAAGTGAGACATCGCGGAGAGAATTACGTGTCCATTGCGGGCGGTGGTCACATCTGTGCCTGTGGCGCCGTTTGAAAGAAAAAAACGCACTAAAGCAGGCGTCCAAGAGGGTCGGTGGCGGATGTTGAGTTTGATGGAGTTTGTGGCGAGCCGTACGATGCCTCCTGAGCCTCCACCTATTGCTCCCCCTCTCTCCTGAACGGAGGTTCTGATATCCACGTTGCATGTCGACTTCAGAGGACACGAGCACATTTAAAACCAACGTTATCAGGCAGATGTCAGAATTGTGAAAACGGACTCCAGTCCTGGGCCTTAAATCTAATGGCGTGATGTTTGCATCGACCAGTGAAATGTCGTATGTTTCATTGTTGCAAATTGCTCTCCAACACATCGGAGTGCTGAAGCAAGAAATACATTGGCACGTTTTTTTTCACGTGACAGCTTTATTAATTTGCAGGTGGACAAAGACAAAAACTCCCCGAATAGCCTTAACAGACTGTTGGGGCAAGTGTTGTTAGCGAGCACCTATGTAAGCCGGCAGGGTAGATGAGGTGGCGGGTGGTCACCATCACGCCCAATTTTCTCTATCTCCCCAGTGGCGATGTTTTCACATCGCATCAGGCACTCATTTGAGAATGAGTCGATCTTTGGGAGGAGGCCCAGGACCGGTTCAGATAATCATTATCACCACTGGTGTTAGCCACGAGCAGAGCGCTGACAGCTACACTACCGCTCCCCACACACATTCTACTGACGCGATCCGTCCCAAAAGTAAATGATGAATTCGAAGATTAGCAACGTAAAAAACTTTGACCGTTCAGGAACATAAGTGGGCATGGGCAGGACACGGCAGTTTGAGGGACGGTGCCGAGTGGGCGAGACTGGCGATGGAGCGGCAGGCAAAGGAGAGAGAGCGCATCTTGAGAGGTGGTCCACTGTGCAGCAGCCGGCATGTGTAAGCCAGATGGATTGTTGCACCGCGGCACCAAGAAAGACGGCAATGGCTTGGGGAGGCCTTCGTCCAACAGTGGATTGAGCATGACTGCTGCTCCTGCTGATGATGTTGAATTGTAAAGGTCGAGGTCTTTGGCTGATCGAGAAACTCAGAGCAATTGCTATGTCGGTCTAAATATAATGGTCGTGTTGGTGATCATTGTTATTATCCATAGTGATGAATGCAAGGAGCCACTTTGGGTAATTGAATGGTGAATATTATTTTTTATATTATTTCTGTCAATGCATACTCAAAACGAAGTTCAATCTACATTTTTAAAAGCCAATCCGAAAAGACACGAGGCTCACGCGGGATTATGAGCGTAGTGACGCTCGGGCTTTGTATCCGATGAACAAAATAATAGGCGAATGCGCAGTTTAATCATTGCCTTCACAACGTTTTGTCTGCTGCTTGTTTGCCTGAAGCATACCAGAGTTGTGTGGGCTAAGGCAAAGAGCTAGAGATACCGAGGGATGAAAGCGGACAAAGTCAGCGACGCGAATAATAACAGAGAGAAGCAAAGGGAGGCGGTGAGTGAGAACGAAACAGGCAGGGAAAATATAATGAGAGACGTACAGACTGAGATACTGGAGAGCCAAACGGGCAGATGAAGACGACATGGACAGATAGAATGGCAAACGGGCATACGGACGCACGGATGGACTGCCAGGAAGACAGACATATACACGGACATAACAGATCGGTGGGCAGACAAGTGGATGAATGGATGGAAGGAGGGTCAGACAGTTGGGCAGACATGTGAATGATCACACAGAGACGAGCAAAATGGAGAAATGGAAGTTCAAGCAGGCAGACGGTCGGACAGACGATCAAGCGCATGGACAGATGTAAAGGCGGTCAGACAGAGTCACCGATGATGCAGAAGGGCTTGCGGGCGAAACGGAGGCGCCCCTGCCAGCCGCGGTAGCGGCAGCAGCACCCGGCTGCCCAGATCCTCAGGAAATACTCGAGGCCGAACAGAACCATCATGATGCCCTCCTGCGGAGACACAAAAACAAACATTCCCCGTTGGCTATTGAGGCAAGTGCCGTTGGTACAGACCTATTGAGGGTGGTACGGTACACGATACCGCCGCCTTCACAGACTTGTTGGGGCAAGTGCTGTTCATGAGCACTATGAAGGCCGACACGGCACGCAAGGGGATGGGTGACCAGCACCGTGCATGGCTGCCTTTGTCTCGCTAGTGGCGATGTTTACATACCACACCAGGTACTCATTTGAGTCAACCTCGGGGAGGACGAGAACCCATTCAGATAATCGACACTGGTGTTGGCCGTGAGCGGGAATCGAACTCGGGGGGACGGGTTCGTAGCTGATTGTATACTACTTCGTTTTACACAGAAATATAAGAACAAAGGCAACGCGAAAACCACTATAGTACCACTCCCAAGGCTTACAGGCTTACACACACACAGCAACACACGCAGAGATACTGCACAATGTACAAGATAAACAGCACCCTAGAGATGCAATCTTCTAAAAATACTAGAACTCTCAAATTTTGCTGTCTAGCCGTGTTACTGTCCATCATCATGGACAAGGTACATTGGGCAAGGCCCCCACCCATCGGCCCCCAACCCCCCAGCACCTATCACCCCCCCCCCCATTTAAGGTTCCCTGACAGCATGTGATGGGAACATTATTGAATTTTCGCTGTTTCTTTCTGCGAAGACATTCCGACAGCCAGCCAGTGACCACCGCAATCCAGAGACTTCCATGGCTCTTGATGCACTGGGAGAGCTACACTTTCTTCCAGTTGTTCAGAGAACTAAACAACACTTGTCAGATGTGACTGCATTATTCAAATTTGACTGAATTATCGGTGTCACGTCGGGGGACATGCATCCATTCAGAGCTCTCGAGAAGAGCTACATCACCTCGTATTCGACAGAAAATAACCCGCAGAAATTGATACCACACAACTGCTACTGAGATCTTGTAGCGCAACTACATGATCAGCTCAGGGGGTGCGGCAATCGTTCAGGTAGGGCCCCAATACGGTTGAAAACACATCTCATGGTGGTTGTAAAAGGGGCCCCAACTCGTAGCTTTGGGGGGGGGGGGGGGCAATGCACCCCCTGCCTCCATTCTCGTTACTGCTGAGATCCCTTGGAGTGATCTCTTAGTCACTCTGGGGATGCTGCACATTCCCAACCGCCCTGTTGCAGAGGCATTCGTCACACGGTAGGCAAACTACAATTCTACAATCTTTTTTCTTCCAATTTACATGACAAGTCCGATTAAATTTGATCTTTTGCTGTTCAGAGATTGGTGACTGGGCTTGAGACCATTGACAGCACCACACGAGACAACCCAATTTAAATACGGGTTCATAGAACGTGGATTCGAACCCGGTTTCCCAGGGGTGCCATCTCCGTGCCCTGGCACCGTAAATGAGCTCCCACCCATACCAATCTGAAAATTAATTTTAAAAAGGGCAAATCATCAACGTGAAATGGCGAGGCAGTAACCCATGACACAATTGAAAAGTCATTGTCCCAATGGTCGAACAAGTGGAGGGTATCGCTCATCTCTGTTGGAATTCCTCTGGCAGAACTGCCAGCCTCTATCAGTCCAATACTCGTGTCTGGCCACAAAGTGGTACCAATCTGAACAAGCTCACACAGATGTTGAGATACACTGATGCTGAACTTACATTTGAACTCGCAACCTTCAATGGTTATTTGAGTTCTATAGCTACTCGTCCAGATGTGTTTGTATGAAAAATAACAATAATGCCCTTAACCCAGGAAAGCTTGAGTCTCAAGACTCCTTTTCAGGAGGATGCCACATTGGGATGTTCAGCCCATTCCATTCATGAGCGTTTGGCTCGTAGGTGGAAACTGGAATACCTGGATTAAAAAAAAACCACAAATAAAAAATAGATACAATCCACTGCTGTACTGTTTTCTCTTGGACACATCACATTTCCGACATGATTAAGCTCCTTCTGCTCATTAATAGTACGGCTTCAACACATCACAGGGGAGCGAACATTATCGCAACAAACACGAGTGCATTACACTCGTGTTTGCATATTATACGTTATTGCGGGAAAAAAATGTCCTGGGTGAAGGCGAAAAAACCATTGCCGTTACACAAGTCACCATGACACTGAATATGCAGCATGTGTACACGTGATTATCAGTGCCATAACATTAATTTACATACACCTCCCGCGAGTGCTCTGAGCTCATTAAATGAGCCGTGTAAACCTTTTCATAAAAATCAGTGTCTCTTGGCTGACGATCCCCAAACTGGAAATGATCTGCCTCTGGCTGGACAATGAAGCCTCTGTCACACGAGCAGCTGCCCAAGCACCGCTTGGGCCAATTCAGCTTCATAAATAAATAAATGCATTTTACAGAAATTATTATGCACTTAAAGCTGAGGATCACCAAAAATAATCCAGGAATGGGGCAATAAAAATGTCAAAATGAATTTGTGAACGGCAAATTTGCGAGGGAGAATTCTCCTGCCAGGAAGTGGAGGCAGATTAAATTCTGCGAGGGGAGGCAGGTAATGAATTTCCTCAGCTGTGCCAGTGCGTCACCGAGATTGGAAAAATATCATTAATATCCCAGAAGCAGGCCCGGTCCTAATGCCCCCAAGTCCCCTGGGTGGCCTCAGTGTTTATTGTTTGAGCGGCAATGAAAGGGCAGACTTTTCAAGTTGACGCTCCCACGGGAGGATCCGCTTCTGGCTTCAAAGACGCGGCCCTGATCGAGGCATCAATGGGACGTTCTCGCGACCCTCCCTCGTGAACGACCCCGTCGAGACAACGGGAGGCGGCGGTGGTTATTTCCCAATGTAACCAGCCGCACTGGCGCGACCGCAACATTTCCCGGAGCTGCCGATCCGCTCGTGCCAATTTTTTACGACACAATACGAATGACATTTTTCACCAAGTGACAATTTTCGCGATATCAGTTTCACCCTAACTTTGTCATTGTATTTTACGTTTTAACAGAATCGCATACAATTTTTTGTATTTTACGTTTTAACAGAATCGCATACAATTTTTTTCCATTATGCTCCACTTCCAGCTCAAGTGGGATTAACTCGAAGTTGTTCAACTGCAGTTCACTCAATGCGAGTTTGCCACAAAAAGCCGTGGAATCCCTGGAACTTTAGAGTTGATAAAGCCAACAATGCACTTGCTGCCAGTTACACAAGAAGTAATCCGTGACAAATTGTGCAGAGCAGTGACGTGATGGGCATTGGCAACTTATGCATCGACAACTTTCCCGATTGTTCTTTTATTATTTCACAAATACAGCCAGGAAATGAAATGCGTAAGATGAAAAACTGATATTCTTTGTTCTTTCGTTAAAGTCACGTAGATAGAAAATTAAATACAAATAATAAATAGAAAATAAAATAAAACCCACGACGTTCCGATCGCAACACAAGCGGTCTTCTTTAGGTGGAGAGAAAATGTTACATTTTTTATTTAAATTTAATTTTATTTTTTTTTATTTTTCTTTTCTATCTCCGTGACTTTACCGAAAGAACCAAGATTATGAATTCCTGCAGTCACGAAAGTTTAAGTCAAAATGAGAAGCTGAGTAATGGTTAACGCGACACAACGGAATGTTTTCCAAATGGGCAATAGAATTATAGTGGGTCTCTTCTATCGTATGATATTATCATATATCGTTGTATTGCCAAATTACGCAAACCGTAGCTTGCAGCCGAGAGGTGTTCTACTCAGTGGAGCTAGCTGGTGACGTGTCCATAACGTGACCCCGTGTTGATGACGTGTCCATAACGTGACCCCGTGTTGATGACGTGTCCATAACGTGACCCCGTGTTGATGACGTGTCCATAACGTGACCCCGTGTTGGCTACGTGTCCATAACGTGACCCCGTGTTAGTGACGTGTCCATAACGTGACCCCGTGTTTGTGACGTGTCCATAACGTGACCCCGTGTTGTTGACGTGTCCATAACGTGACCCCGTGTTGATGACGTGTCCATAACGTGACCCCGTGTTGGCTACGTGTCCATAACGTGACCCCGTGTTAGTGACGTGTCCATAACGTGACCCCGTGTTGTTGACGTGTCCACAACGTGACCCCGTGTTGATGACGTGTCCATAACATGACCCCGTGTTGATGACGTGTCCATAACGTGACCCCGTGTTGATGACGTGTCCCCAACCTGACCCCGTGTTGGCTACGTGTCCATAACGTGACCCCGTGTTGGTGACGTGTCCATAACGTGACCCCGTGTTGTTGACGTGTCCACAACGTGACCCCGTGTTGATGACGTGTCCATAACGTGACCCCGTGTTGATGACGTGTCCCCAACCTGACCCCGTGTTGGCTACGTGTCCGTAACGTGACCCCGTGTTGGTGACGTGTCCATAACGTGACCCCGTGTTAGTGACGTGTCCATAACGTGACCCCGTGTTGATGACGTGTCCATAACGTGACCCCGTGTTGATGACGTGTCCATAACGTGACCCCGTGTTGGCTACGTGTCCATAACGTGACCCCGTGTCGATGACGTGTCCATAACGTGACCCCGTGTTGATGACGTGTCCATAACGTGACCCCGTGTTGGCTACGTGTCCATAACGTGACCCCGTGTTGGCTACGTGTCCATAACGTGACCCCGTGTTGATGACGTGTCCATAACGTGACCCCGTGTTGATGACGTGTCCATAACGTGACCCCGTATTGGCTACGTGTCCATAACGTGACCCCGTGTTGGCTACGTGTCCATAACGTGACCCCGTGTTGGCTACGTGTCCATAACGTGACCCCGTGTTGGCTACGTGTCCATAACGTGACCCCGTGTTGATGACGTGTCCATAACGTGACCCCGTGTTGGCTACGTGTCCATAACGTGACCCCGTGTTGGCTACGTGTCCATAACGTGACCCCGTGTTGGCTACGTGTCCATAACGTGACCCCGTGTTGGCTACGTGTCCATAACGTGACCCCGTGTTGATGACGTGTCCATAACGTGACC